CGGCCTGACCAGTGCTGCATAGAGGGGGAGGATCACCTCTTTGGACCTGCTCGAGATGCATCTGTGGATGCATGACAAGGTGCGGTTGGCCTTCCTGACTGCATCCCCACACTAACGGCCCATGTTCATCTTGGAGTCAATGATGTTCCTTAAGCATACTAAAATAAATTTTAAACACAAGTATTCTAATTTTTAATCAGACTCAGCTACCACTTATGAGTAAGATGCATTTCTTTTTTCATGCCAAAACTGAGGCATCTGTACCTGATTGTAACTTACCTGAAACTTTTCTTTGCATGAGGCTACATTCACATCTGTTCCCCAAATCACAAGCTTTTGTCCAAGAGACTGTTCATTTGCCACTGCATCCTCTGCTGGCTGTGTGAAGGAAAAATTAGAAACTATCACTAGGAACAACATTTCTGTCTTCAGAAAAAGTATCTGTAAACCCCAAAACATTTACTTACCCCATCAGAATGCAAGTCCACCTCTCTGGCTTTACGGGCAGATCCAAGATCTGGCCTCTGCCTAACTGGAGTACCTCTTACACCACTCCTTGGAGTACCCTCCACTCTAGAACTGGGAGTGCCATATGTCAGAGGTGAGCTGATATCAAAATCAAGTGGAATCGCTACAAAGAAGAAGTTATAATTAAGTGCACTTCAAATTATCAGTGAATATAGTTTTACTCTGAAATATATTTTTTGTCAATCATCCCACCAAAAGCTAGCCCTTCTCAGCATTGGATGAAGCAAGCTGCTGCTTACAAAACCTTAGGCATCTTTGGTTTAGTTAATCTACAATGTGCAAATATACCCTGCCTTCTACATTATTACCTGACCTATTTTTTCAGTGATAAAATAATTGGTTCGCTAAGTTGAGCCAGCACTAACTGCGAATAAGAAACAATCCTGGTTTGTTTTGAAAGAAAAGTTTTTGGTAATTTACAGCAATGTAAAAGCCAACTTTAACACATTGACAATATAAGCATTTTGTTTCTTGTACATATTAGGGTGACAAAGATGAGAGTACCTGAATGGCGGAATTGTGTTGGACTGGAAAACAGAACATCTTGAGCATTAGGACTTTGCGTATCAGCTGCTGGAGAAGTTGGCATTGGCTGCAGGTCTCCAGTGGATGTAGAGTCATCTGCTCTACGTTTTTCGGAAGGAGGCGACTGAGCATCTTCAGCATGTGCTACAATAGAAATAAAGTTGATAAGTAGCTATTTCACCAGTCAGATCGGGCACATGAAGGCAGGGGGAAAAAGATGTAGCGCGTGTGCCAGCCCCTTAAAACTAAGCCCTTGACACAGAGCAGTGAGGTCTGGGGTGCTGCAGATGGGATTGATCACCCATGATAGCACTGGCTGGCCATTCCAAAAGGCTGCTGACTCCTGATTTAGATGGAGTCCACACAAACTTAGACACGCACGAGAAGAACATGCTAAACTTTTAATACTTTGCTTAACATATAATCATTTGAAAGATCCCAAGGAGCAGAACAATTCTTAAGCTGTATCCTAAACATTAAGAGATATTTGGTGCTTTTAGAATATTCATACTCTGCAAAGACAGGGGTGCTCAACCTTTTGACCCTGCAAGTCAAGGGCTTGGATAGATGTTCAGTCTCTCCAGCGAGAGTCCCTGTTCTCCAAGAAGAAGCTACAAGCATACAGATGTTTGTAACTTTTCTCCCAGAGTAAAAGTGACTGCTCAGGAAAAAAAATAACTTGGGAACAATGCCAATGAAATGTCTCCCCTCTGGAGAGAGAGCATATCTGTGCAGGCAGCCAAGGTACAGCTGACCTCCACAATCCCAGGATGCTTTGCTCCAGTGCCCTGGGAGAGAGTGTGTGGGTCCCAGACAAGCTAGGAGCAGATTCTGCGCTTCTGGCTAGAAAAACCCAGTGCTGAAGCACTTTGGGGGCATGTTCTGCTCCTAGCTTGGAACCCCAACACAAGCTTAAGCAGAGAGCCTGTAGGGCAGGTGCTGGTTGCTGGGGGACCCCAGAGCACAGAGCTCCCTCCCCCCACCACCCAGCAAGTGAAGGGAATAGACAAGGTTGGGGAATGCGGGGGGCATGGTCAGCGGGGCCAGGTCTTACATATGAAGTTATTATATTGGAAGCTTAAAATCAACGTATTTGCTGAAAAACTATCATACACTGAAAACATTATTTCATAAATATAAAATATCTGCCAAGGGGCAGGAAGTCAGCTGGGGTCAAAAGATCCCACAAGATAAGCATCCAAACTCTTCTTGAGCATGTGCAGAACTGCACCACCTCTGGGGGGAAATCTATTCCAGGTCTTGGGGGCTCAGACAGCAAAGAAATTTTTCCTTATGTCCAGCCTGAAATGGTTTTGCAGGAGTTTGTGACAGTTGGACCTTTTCATCCCTTGGGGTGCTCTGGTGAACGGCGTTCCCCCAGACCTTGATGCACACCCCTTATGTACTTGTAGGCTGCCACCAGGTCCCCTCTGAACCCGTGGTTCTCCAGGCTGGAGTCCCATGGCTGTCAACCTCTCTCCATAAGGCCTGCTCTCTCGCTCTCTAATCATCGCATGGCTCTCCTCTGGATTCTTTCAAGCTTCTCCACATCCTTTCTGAATTGTGGATGTGAAGGCAAAGGGTATTTACACCCAAAAGATTGCAAATAAGATTTTTTCTAACTATCTGATTTGGTCTAATAAATGATATCACATTTACCCAGAAAACCTTGTCTGCTTAAGTCCTTAGACCAGGGGTGGGCAAATGCAGCCCAGGGGCCAGATTAAGTCCATCAGGCCATTCTCTCAAGCCTGCGGGGTCCCTAAAAAAATTAGAAAATTAATATTAATCTGCCCTGGGCTGCCTGTCATGTGGCCCTCGATGGCTTGCCAATACTCAGAAAGCAGCCCTCTACCCAAAATAATTGCCTGCCCCTGCCTTAGACCCACACGGCTACAAACGATACCATCGTACCTTTTGATCACATTTACTATTCTTGATCGTGAAATTATGGTACAAGTGAGATAATTATCGTACACCTGGTAACACTGGGTCGGCTCTTTTCCCCACCCCGTGCAGCTGGGGCCGGGTACGTCCTCCCTCCCCCGCGAAAGGGCTCGCACTTACGCGTGGTGGGGGCGCTGGCGCGGCCGCGCTTGCCGCGGCGCCTCGGGGTGGAAGCGGGAGAGGACATGGCACTGCTCTTGTCTCCGCCGGCGGCCGCTACTGCCCTGCACTGGGGACGTCAGGACCCCGGGAAAAACCACGCACCAGTCCCCACAGTCTTCTCCCAGCACCGGAGCCCCGAACCCCCGGACAATTCCGCGCCACGGAGATCACGTGGGGAGGATCTCGCGCGCTTTCCCACCAATGGCTGAGCGGGAGAGCCCAACTCCGGGCTACGGGGGGGGGGGCGAGAATCTAGGTTCCAGCTAGGAATAATAGGCTTTTTTTGGGGGGGCGGGATGGCTGTGACTCCTCTCCCCCCACCTCGACGGAGACGAGACAAAACCCAAGTCTACCCGGTGCTTGCATCTAGCCAGAGAGAGGCGGCTGTATCGGGATATTGCACAGTCCCATCTCAGACCCCTTCGGAGAGAATGGTATCGCCCTCCCTCGGCCGCATTTCGTGGCAAAAGCACTGAGCCCAGCCCTCTGGGTGGAGAGAGTAGAGTGTTTCATTCCCGGAGGGTGGGGCTGAGCTGCTCGGCCTCTACCGCACGTAAAGCAAAACCGGGTGAAACCAATTCCGCCTTGCGGGGGACCGCGCGCAGCCCTCCGTCCGGCGTGGTTGAGTCTCCTTCCTCAGCGCCGACCAATCCGCTCCGCTGGTGGGAGGGGCGAGTTCTAACCGCCGGGGGTCGTGGGCGAGTCGATTTGCTCCGTTTCCCTTCTCACCGCCGGGGACGGCTGGTTCTCTCTGAGCTGTTCCGTGGGGCAGTCCCGGTGCCCGCGAGCAGGGCCATGGCCGCGCTGGTGCCCGTGGGTGGCGCCGGCGACATGCAGGGCTGTTTGGTGCAGCTCCACGGCGCGCTGCGGGACCCGGACCCGAGCAGCGCCGCTCTGCGCGGCTACAACCTGGTGCGCAGCATCGGGGAGGCCTGCGTCACCCGCATGGGGGACAGCGCCCAGGGTGCGTGCTGCAGCGCGGGGCGGGCGAGCAAGGGGCGTCCTGGGGCTGCGCCGCTAGCAAAGCTTCGCGGTTCCTCAGTCCGCGTCGCAGCCGGGTGTGGGCAAACGCGGCTTTAAACGCTTAGGCTCATCTCTCTGTAGCCGGCCTGAAAGAAACCAGCCCTTGGGTTGGGTCCGGTAGTCCTGGTATTGAAAACGTTGCCAAATTTGGCAGAATTGGCTCCCATGACTTTGAAGCCAGGAGGGCTAGAATATATTTCTCCCTCTCTCTTGCAAGAAGCGGGCAGTTTTGGGTTCATTTAAAAAAAATACAATTTCATTGAAGTAATTAACTGTGGTTGGATACTTGGAATATTTCCATTCACGCTTCTAAAGTCTGGGGTTGGTTAAGGTTTGACTCTTTTCCCTCTCCTCCCTGATGTGCAGACTATAAAAAGAAAAGGAACTTTTTAACATTGGCAGTAGAAATTCAGAGGGTTTGTTACTTCTGGAAATGAGTAATTTAACCTGGGTGAAATCTGCAATAACAGTTTTTGCCAGGCCATTGTTCTTGTCTGGCAAATGAAATGTTTCTGTGGGGTGAATTAATGTAGAAGAAAGGATCTGGACTCCTTCCATCTTTTCTAGGTGAAAATCAAAACTGTGAAGAAAATTCAGGGGCACTAATTGCACGTGGCCAGTGTGGTGTCGTTCTGTAGGGTTCATCTCTACAAGGGATTCTAGGATGAAATATAGGTTTAGTAACATGGGGATCAATTTTATTTTACAGTGATTTAACAGTGTTAAAAAGTTCCTTTTCTTTTCCTGAAGCGTTACTAAAAATGCAAAAACAGCTTTTGCCAGACCATTGGTCTTGTCTGGCAAATGAAATGTTTCTGTGGGATGAGTAAACATGTAAAAGTATCTGGACTCCTTACAAGGGTGTAGGTTGTAGTCACCTCAGGACGTAGGCAGACCGGGTTCTTTGGGTGAATATGATATCTTTTATTAAACCAACTCAAATAGTTGAAAAAAATTCTTCTTTGCCATCTTTCAGATATAAATACCCTTCGTCAGGCTAAAGAAACATCTGCCTTCTTACATTTTTCCAAGATAAAAACCAAAACTTGTTAACACAGTTCCCTTGGTTTTGTCTATACCACTATTTTAAATTATGCTAGTGTAAATTATACCAAAGGTGTTTGTTTATGATGTGAACCTGGTTTCAGGTACTGGCTTAGGGCTGCTTAAAACCAGATGACCATTTAACTGTTCATCAAAATCATTAATTGATAGCATATGATTGAAAGGCCCTCCTTGAGGATCAGTGCAGACTTGAAGTTACTCTAACTTATATCTGCCACAGGACTGGGACATTAAGAAGTGATGACCTTGCCACTCTGAAACCTGAGTATCTAATGTATTGTAAATCTGGTACATCATCTGTGTTCGAACCTGTGCAGAAAACTACTGTTCAGCAGCTGTCAAGATGGTAGATTCTGGTTGTAATGAATCTCGAACCATAGTAGTACCATGGTGGCATCCCTGAACTGAAGGTGTTTGCTGAAAAATTCTTTCTAACCTTTAGGTACCAGCCATCTATCGAAAAGGAAAGGAGTCTTGCGTCCGTGTGGTCTGAGATCTGTCTAGGTCCGGTGAGAGAGGTTAAGCCATGCAAGAGAATGATGTGGTTAGCATTATGTCTGGCTGCCGTGGATTCCCCAATCCAAATGACCCATTAGAGACCCAGGGATTGTAGGGCAGCAAGGATGGGGGGAGAGCGGAGGCTTTTGGAGAGGGAAGATAAAATGGAGAGAGATGCAATTAAACTTAGTAGAGAGCAAGAGGTTAAAGAAGAGGCCCCAGAACCAGGATAAAATGTGGGTAAAATAGATAAGATCAGATCTTGGTAAAATAAAGCAAGATGACGTAAGTCCTTGTGCACCATTGCGAGCGGTTAGAATGACCCAAAGAAAATTCCATCCTCTGGGAGTCGAATGCTGGTGACATACCAAATTTAGCCTGTAGGAATCATTTGGGTTGCATCGTGTATTCAGCTTCTTCTGAATCTTAGCATAAACGAAACAAGCAGCTGCCTAGAGAGCCTTTCAAATCCCAAGTATTAAAAAAAGGCAGTTATCCATTCTGCCTCTGCAGATTCACATCACTCTTTTTACATTTGGCTCAGACTTGAAAGGTTCTCTACAGCTATGAAGGCTAGAAAGTTGTTTAGTTGATTTATGCTAAGATTCTGAAGAAGCTGATTATGCAAACCAAATCTTTCACCTGGGGCTAAGTGTGGTACGTCATCTGTATTCAATTTGTTTGGCTTTGTTGAGAGTACTTATGCACAAAACTGCTGTTAGCCGATTGTCAAGATGGCAGAATCTGGTCCTAATATAGTACCGCTGTCACAGCAGGTGTACAAAACTTGCATCTTCACTTCCTCTGCCCTGTACTCTCGTCTCAGTTTCCTTTACTCTTAACTGAGTGTCATGTGTTTTTCTTCCTGGAAAGATAAGAGGAAGTTCTAAGCAGCCTGATACAGTTTTTAAAATAATTGCTTTGACGTGAGACTAACCAGTTGGACTGCTGTAAGTGGCTCAAATAAAAGGAGATGCTGCGGGCATCTCAAAGGCACTGTATCTGGCAGGCATGCATTCAGTGCTTTATGTATGTTTTCTCTTTAAGCATGAAAGCAGTGTTTCCATGCTGTAAGGTTTCTATGAAGAAAATTTGGGCACAACAGTTGCACCCAGGGTGTAGTCATTCTATGGAATTCATCTCTACAAGGCATTCTAGGATGAAATGCAGGTTTAATAACATCTGGGGCTCAATTTTATAGTGATTTAACAGTGTTAAAAAGATCATTTTCTTTTCCTGAAGTGTTACTGAAAATGCAGTAATAGTCTTTGCCAGACCATTGGTCTTGTCTGGCAAATAAAATGTTTCTGTGGGATAAAGGATTTTTGGTTGTAGCCATGTTGGTCTAAGGACATGGGCAAGCAAAGTTCTTTGGGTTGATGTGATATCTTTTATTAGACCAACTAAGAAGTTGGAAAGCAGTTCTTTGCAAGCTTTCAGGCACAAACACCTTTTGTTGGACAATGGGAGGCTGCTGATGTGTGTTCTCTAAGGTAGAAAAGAAACACATTTATAACAGGCATGCCTGTGAAAATGTGGAAGTTAGGAGGGGAAGGGGGAAAGGAGGGAAATGTATGAAGAGAATGCAAGTGGTCAGATGGAGTCAGGTTACCTGGGTTGTCAGATGTCCAGCAAGTTGTAGTGTGTCATAAATCCAATGTCTATATTAAGTCCATGATTTTTTTGTATCCGGTAGATTTATGAAGTGAAATTTGTAGGTGTGCTTATGAAAGGTGTTTTAAATAAATGTAAGGAGTCCAGATACTTTTATACATTTTTCCTAGATGAAAATTAAAACTTGATAGCATAACCCTCTTGGTTTTGTCTACGCTGCTATTTTAAGTAGGGGTACACTGATATAAAGATTTTTTGGGCCTGTACTGATGGCCAGTTATTAATGAGCCATATCAGCTGTTACGGATCCAATTGCCAATATGCAGCCTGGCAGCTTGGAGAGCAGTGTCTGGCTGGTAAGTCTGTTTTGGAGGGGGAGGAGGGCCATGGGGGGACAGATGGAGGCCCCTGCAGTGAGAGACTAGGGCTGGGGCAGGGTGAGGTGCTGCCCAGCCAGCGCAGGGCGCAGGATGGAGCCATGCAAGGCTTGTCCGGGGGGATGTTAGGAGGGGAGGGCAGATCCCGCTGCTACGCATATCCCTTGGGGGAGCCATGGGGGATATGCGCCCCGCGGATCTGTGCGTGGGGCGAGGGCGGGCTGCTGCTGTAGACTGGGACTGGGGGCTGGTGCCAGGCTCTTTCCAGTGGGGGGCTGCGGGCAGTGGTGGTGCTGGGGTGGGGGGAGCTATGGTGTGGGCTGCAGCCATCCCAAAATTTGCCATAGGCCCTCCTCGCAGTGCCGCCTTCTCCAAGTGCAGCGTCAGCCTAATCCTCCGCCAGGAAGAGGCCAGCGCCACCCCTGGCCCCAGCCCACAGGGGCAGCCCATCCTTGCCCCACACACAGAGCCATGCAGCATGTGCCGCCCCCTCCCCCCCCCGCCTCCTCTGGGGATGTGCTTAGTGGCAGGATTTGCATACCCTGGGCAAGCTGCTCACGGTTCCCTCCCATGCCCCACCCCAGCTGAGCAGCACCTGCCACAGCCCCAGCCCCAGCCCCACTCCTTCCTTAATAGCAGGGGCTTCTATCTGTTTCCCCTATACCCCTTCCTCTGCCCCCATTCCCCCCACAATAGACTTACCAGCCAGAGGCTACTCTGTAAACTACCAGGCTGGCCGTGCGCATGCTGTGGCTGCACTCATGCACATGACATTTACTGGGGACGTTATTGGTGACATTAGCCAGAAAAAGACAATTGCCAATAATGTCAATTTTCTTTTTGTGGGTGCCAATACAATATGGACCTATGTATTGGTTCACCTATAATTTTAAGGCATGTTAGTGCAAATCTACCAAAGACATTTGTCTATGGTATTAATGTGGTTTCTAATATCAGGTTAGGGCTGCTTAAAACCATTCATCAAAGTAATTAATGTATGATTGTGAAAGGTCCTTCTTGAGGATCAACATAGACTTGAAGTCACTCTAACTTTTATCTGCCACAGGACTGGGAGGTTTGTGCCACTCTGAGACTTGAACATCTCTCCCATTGTAGGTGAACTGAAAATTTTACAAACAAACCAAGGTTCAAGTATGGCAGTTCATACTTGCATCCCTGTAGGTTTCAATGGGACAATTTATGTGATCAAGGGCTCCAAAATAAGGATTTATTTTATCTGGAAAATTAGTTATACCTTAAGGGCACTAGGGCAAGATTTAGAAACTGGTACCCTAAAGAATGTCCAGTAGTATCTATGTGCCCAGGTTTCTGTGCCTTGGCTGTTCGGAAGGAAAACATTTGCTGGGTTCTATGTTGTATGACGCTTTGCTCTTCCTGCAGCCTTGCAGTCTTCGTTAGTGTTTTCCAAAGACCAAGGATTACTTGTGTTTATCCGCAAATCTCTCAGTATTGAGGAGGTAAGTTCATCAACCTAACGTTTCTTAAGAACTGTTGTATTTTTCATATTAGTAATACATTGCCTTTATTTAGAGACAGAGGACCTGTCTCTAAATAAAATCTTTTTTTTTTTCAGTTTCGGGATTGCAGAGAAGAAGCCTTAAAATTTCTGTGTACCTTTCTGGAAAAGATTGGTCAGGGAGTTCATCCATATGCTTGTGATATTAAGGTTGGTGAAGGAAGAATTTACTTAAAATGTAAAAATGTCTTCCTTGTGCTCTTAATAGTTTCTTAATGCCTTTACATTTATTCTACAAGCTTACAACTTGATGTGAACAAATCAGTTTTAAAATTTTCATGTAGTGCGTTTCTTATCTACTTATATGGGAGTTGAAATAAATCAACCTTTTTGTTTTATGTTAGTTATGTCATTTAAAAATGTTGTAAAGTTTGGCAGTATTTGTTCAATTACTTTGAAACTAGGAGAGTTGGAATATATTTCTCTCTAAAAAGGCAATTTTTGGTTAATTTTTTTAATGCAATCTCGTTGAAATAATGGGGTGGGGGTTGCTACTTTGAATCTTTCTATTCAAATTTCTAAATTCTAGGATGGTTTTTAAGGTTTGATTTCAACCCCTCCCCATCCTTCCTGAAATGCTGAGCTCCTGCTATACCAGTTGGCAGTAGAAGTTCTGAGGATTTGTCACTTAAATTACTGGTGGCATCCCTGAAATAAAGGTGTTTGTTGAAAAACTCTTTGTAAACTCTGGGTACTAACCATCTGTTGAAAAGGAAAGCAGTTTAGTGTCTGCATGGTCTGGGATCCATCTAGGTCCAGTGAGAGAAGTTAAGTCATGCAGGGGAATGGTGTAGCTAATATTATGTCTGGCTTCCTTCGATTCCTCAGTCCAAATGACTCTGGCAATTAAGACAACTGGGTATAGCCTTCAACTTGAGTATTGAACAAGGCTCAAAGTCTCACCTCTGGAGCAGTAGCAAGACATTGTAACTGCTCTGTCCCTATAGCTTTTTTGCCATATGAAGATAGGGCACAGTCTGAAGCAGAAAACCTTATTGCTTATTGGAGCCTGCATTTGTTAACTTTTAGGGCCCACTGTGAAGCTTTTGGAGTGGGTTTGATTCACGTAGGTAGGGCAGTCAGATGTTGAAAGGTTGTTTTTATGTTCTGGGTGAACATACGTCTTTATTCGTGTTGCCTTTTCATATGAGAAGTCATGTATTTTTATTTTTACACATTTCAGTGTGGTAAAATATCTAATACGGGGCGGGCAATTATTTCGGGCAGAGAGCTGCTAACCCAGTTTTAGCAAGCTGTCAAGGGCTGCATAGTTAGCCCCACCCCTTGACAGGTGCCCCACCCCCTGGTCATCATCTTGGGACCAACGTCGCAATGTCTTGGGATCAGTGTCTCGGGGCCAGCACTGGTGGAGCCCAGAGCGGGGTGCAGGCTGGCAGGGGTCTGTGGAGCCAGGCTGGGCTGTACCAGCAGGGAGTGGGGGGCTGGCCCAGCTCCATAGAGCCCCTGCCAGCTAGGACCCCCCTGCACTTACCTGAGTTTGTTGTGGTGCAGCCACATGGTCCCAGGCCAGAAGCCCCTCTTGGGGCTTCCAGCTGGGGGGGTAGGGCTTCCCCTGGGTCCTACTGCCCCTGGTTCCTGTCATTTTTGACAGGAACAAAAGACAGATAAATATTAATTTTCTAAATTTTTAGGGGCCCCATGGGCGGGATAGAATGGCCTCATGGGCTGTATTTTGCCCATCCCTGATCTAATATAATTGGGAAATAGATGCCTTACAGAAATAAATAATAATAATAATGAAAAAAAGTTACCTTAATTTTTCCTTTCTGTCTGTGATTATTTTAACTTTTTTTTCCCCTCCCCCCCCCCCCCCCAACATAGCAAACTTGTATAAGTGTTTATACAAAAGATAAGATGGCCAAATGTAAAATCCCAGCTCTGGAGCTTCTGATTAAGGTAAAACATACTTTACAATTCTTCATTGCTTCTAAGGCTGTAAACAGATGCAAGTTTCAAACACAGTTGAAGGGGAGGGGGAATTGTTGCTTGTGAGTGCCATAACAGTTATATTGCAGCATCTTATATTTTTTATGCTCTGATAGGAGCAGATGAGCCTTGAGTGAAATGGGGTTAAAGTTTCAGTAGATTTGTATCTATTGTTTCACATAACTTATGCATTAAAAGAGAAATATTTGAGGGGAAAAAAAATAATTTGAAATTGCCCTCAGATGCAGTAACAACAAACTGCTTCTGTAATATGGTGCATTAAGCCTTTGTCCTGCAAACACATGCTTAACTTTATGCATTTCATGACTAGTCCCTTTTAAAAAATATTCTTTGGATTGTTTTCATAACAGGGTGGGTAGACATTTTAATATTATGGAAATTGTTTGTAAAATTGCACATGCTGACAGGTATAATATCTACAGCTGTTTATGGCTTTAAAATGCTTTTATTTTGACAAAGCTACAGATAAAATGTGTGTAAGTAGTACAGGAATAGAAAGAAACAGGTGCATGCTACCTACCATGTGCATAAGAAGATCATAAGACATTTTCATTATATAGACTAGTTGCTTGTTTGCCTGAATCTTATATTACAAGAAGTTGAGGCCAGATTTCTTTAACCTAATTCCCAAATCAGTGGGACCATTCATATACTTAAAGCTAAGAACAGTATTTAGTTCTCTTGGAATTTGGGCCCTACTCAGATTGTATCAAATAGGAGAACAAGTAAAATAGTAGTGTTTCTAACAATGCTATCTTTCCTATATTTCCAGTTGCTTCAAAATGTTCAGTGTTTCAGTCTGGAAGAATTAAAAGTTGGAGAAATCTTTAACAAATTCTATGGTGAACTTGCTGGAAAAAGTAGGGTGCCTGACACAGGTAGACCTTAACTTTACTAGCAACATTACTTGTTTTATTTACTGTCTGTCATACTAATACCTAGATGGATTATCTCCTGCAGAAATCTGAGTAAGAAGGCTTTATGGAACAAACACAAAACTTTCACAACATACTGTGTTTAACATCTTGTTACATATTAGAAGTAGGGTCCACTATTGAGACTTGTCAAATGCTCTCATTCAGTAATAGAATATTACGCTTAGGGAAACTACAATATACTATGTTATCTTTTCACAAGTGCTGTCTCAAAACATTATTAATAATGTAAGTGGATGGATAACATTAATTAAAAAAATCATCCTCCCTAGGACAAATCAGTGTCCTCAGGAAAGGCAGCTGTTATGTACTGTATAATTATTTAAGTGTTCTGCTGCCATAAACTCTGATTGTGTCTCTAGAAGATCTGTACATGTATGTACTCTAGCACTATGGTGATAGTATTCATTAAGTGCAGTTTGTTTCTGCTTACAATGAAGTCCTAAGAGGACTCTAAGTTACATATGTTTTAACATTGTGTGATGTTGGAATTTCTCACTGGTTAGGAACCCACAGCAACAAGGTGCTGAGCAATCTAATCTCTTGTTGTCTTCTTAGCCTTTGTTGATTTCAGTTTCATTTGGGGTGTTTGGCTTCTCAGAGGATTGATATCACACAAATGGGTAAAACAGATTGAATAACTTTAATAAATTAATTTTCACTATGGAAGTTAATGATAAATTTCAGATCAAATCATAGGAGAAAGTATGTGTTCTTGGAACACTTTCTCATATGCCAGTCCGCACTCCAAAGTGTGACAGTGCCTGCATCCAAACTCTGTAAGTAGGGGGAAGCTTTTCTAATAATACTGCTGTTTCATGTGCAGCAAAAATACTGAGTAACATAATAATTTATATCCCTATTCTAATTACTTTTAGTGTTGGAAAAGATATATGAGCTTCTGGGAGTCTTGGGAGAAGTCCAACCTAGTGACATGCTTGACAATTCTGAAAAGTTATTCCGAGCTTACGTGGGAGAGCTCAAAACACAGGTATGATAGGCATCTGTTACAGGACTTTGCCAGTGAGCTGTTGGATCTTTTCTTCCATTGGATTCTATTCTATATGATGAGTTGCTGTTCATACCAAGACAATATCTTTTAAATGATGTCTATAACAATACCTATGAACACTCGTACACTTTCAGAAGTTGTTAATAGGCATGGAGTGTCATGTGCTCATTGGCTATTGAGTCTTGGGTAGGATATAGCTGAACGGGAAGGAACTAGTGGCCCCTTGTGCCACTGTTTCAGCTGGAAGAAGAGCATGATCCTAACTACTGCTTATGGTTCAGGCAGGTGGTTGTCATTACTGGGCTATTGATTATCTGAACACTAGTAAGTTGAAGAACTCAATTGCTTTCCTTTGTTCAGAAGGGTGACATCACAAGTCTGACTTGGCAAATACGTCTTTTTTCTGTATTTTACTCTTCTAAGGGCTAGTTTTTGTGACGCCAGTTTTGTTCCTATAAGTGCAAAGCTCTTTAGTGGACACAGTGCTTATGCCAGGTAAGGAATTTTATGCAAGTATACTTATACTATCTTCCCAAATCACAGAAACTATTTTAGCAGGAAGTGTCTATACTGGTGTAGCTATGTTGGGTAAGAGAGCTCTAGTATGTGTGTCCTTTGTCCCATCCTTCATACTCCTAATTGACAGGCTTATGCTAGATGACTTGAGTATAAACTTTGCTTAACTGCAGCATAATATTTTCTTTAAAACTTGTTTTCAGATGACATCAGCTACAAGGGAGCCCAAACTACCAGTAGTAGCAGGGTGTCTGAAAGGACTGACTGCACTGCTATATAACTTTACTAAATCCATGGAAGAAGGTACAGAATCTTTTGTTTAGATAAGCTGTAACACTTGTAGAGCAGATAAGCAGCATTTGTTCATCCTGCTGTAAAGTTTGTTACTTGCAGCTATTGTGCATGCTGGTAAAACACTGGCAGAACAGCTGCCTGTATAAGGCACCCCATATCATAAAACCTCTCTGGCACCCTTATGCATAGGAGACCCTTTGCATCCTTACCTTACACAACCACGATGAAGTACTCTTTTCTCAGCAGGGGTTGACAACTACATTCTTTGTTAAAGTTAAAACATTGTGGTGATATGTATATAACAGATGACACGTATGCTACCATGGCTGTGTTTATTAAAATGTAGGTCTTCAGCAAACAAAAGAAGAATATATATATTCACTAGACAGATGCTCTGCTTTGAGGAATGTGATATGTTGTCTTCGTAACAAATTTAGAGTATTATTTTACTGTTTTGATTCTACCTTGGATATGGCTTTAGTAAAATGATTCCTGATTGGTTGTTCCATAGATCCACGCACTTCAAAGGAGATATTTGATTTTGCGGTGAAGGCAATCAATCCACAGGTAGATAATGGGTTTTCCTTTTGCATGTGATCTGTTCTGTATGCAGTTTTGATAAAGAGTAAATCTTTTACAGTGAACCTTTTGCTTTTACAGGTTGACCTAAAGCGATATGCAGTACCCCTAGGTAGGTGTCTTCTTGAGTGAGTTCTGTTTGCCATTTTATTGCTATCATGTTTTTCTTGGAGGAGACCTGTTTCCCATTCTGCTGAAAAGGGTATTTGTTCTCAAAGCATATTCTGCCTTTAGGCTAGAAGAGTAGAGCCCCTCTGTTGTATATTAGTATTTAGGGTATCACAAGGGAGCAACTGGCTGAGCAAAGCAAAATCTTATTTGGCTGGGTCAAAGGGAATCTATGGGTACTGTAATAATGAAAATACAGATTAATTAGGAGGTATTTGATACCTCCTCTTGTCCTAATATAAACCTCTGGAGTGATCAGTTCCCAGAAACTAGAACACAAATCCAGATTCTAATGAAAATTGTTTTTATATTGCAGCTGGCTTGCGCATGTTCAGCCTGCATGCTGCTCAGTTTGGCACCTGTCTTCTGGATAACTATGTCATGCTGTTTGAAGTGATGTCCAAATGTTGTGGCCACACAAATGTAGATCTGAAGAAAGCTGGTCATTCAGCCCTAGATTCAGTTCTTAAACAGGTATTACTATTCACATGGTTGCTCCTAGATTGTCAAGGAATTAAATTTCTAAAATAATAGAGTATAGAAGTAGTCTTCCATGGGAGCTCAATGGATAAGGGGCATGTACAGTTAATGATATAGATGTTGTCTGTCATACTATAGTACAGAATTTTTTTTTAAAGTGGCTTTCAGTATCATTTTTGTGTGGTGGTTTTTGTTTCGTTTTGTTTTTCAAGTTTCCGGTAATCCTTAATTGTTTGTGTATAACCTGCAGATTTCTCTGATGGTGGCTAAAGATGCAGAAATGCACAAAAGCAAGCTGAAGTTCTTCATGGAGCAGTTTTATAGCATCATCAGAAAAATGGATTCGAGCAATAAAGAGCTGTCTATTGCCATTCGTGGATATGGTCTTTTTGCAGCGGTATGGCAAAACTCATTCTCATTCCCTGGGATAGGTTTGATGTTAGGTTTAGGAAGCTATTGACATTTATGTTTCTTTTCATTGGAAGAGCACATTATGTAGGGAATACTTTCTCTTCTTTTTCTTCCTGAATTAAGTATGAAAAGGAGGTCAGTTACATAGTCGAGACTCATTCTGGCTCAGAATCATTGCTAAAGATTTAGTGAACTTCCACTGTATTTAGTGGGAGGGCTTTCAAGATTGAACCTAAAGCCTTATAGTTATTTCTCTTCATATGTGAGTTATGAAGAAAGTAATGCCTTTTCCACTCTGAATTCTGGCCACATTCATCCAATTAAAGCTCCCTCTTTTCTGGTAGGATATGAGCTTTTTAGCCTGGACAGGTACTAAGGCTGGAGCTGTCTGGGCGCATCTACATAAGGCGCTAAATGCGCAGTAGACTAATTCTACTGAACGTTAGCATGTCGCAGTGAGAGCCATGCTAATACGTTAATGCATAATACGCAGTAGTAGTAGTCTAGGCACTACTGCGCAATATTACTGGTTACTGCACATTGATTTCAGTACCTGGTAATACAGGTACTAAACTTAATGTGCAGTAGCGGCAGCGTATTAATGAATGTGTGGAAGCACCTACTGTGAGGTAAAATTAACAGGCGTTTATCATGGTAGGAGATTCCATTTTCTTTCTTACTCGGGAATTATGGATTTAGGATGCTTCTCTTGATTTGACTGTTAGGATATTAACAGTCCTATTAACATGTTTTCCACATCTTCACCTTTGGAGAAATTATAGTAACTTTACAGCTGTCTCAATCCATAACAACTTTGGCAATGGTAAGTACATAGAGTATCCTTAAGTTACCCTGCTGTTCAAGGGTACTTTAAATGCAAGGGGACAATTTTTTCTGCATTTCTATATCTAAAAGATTAGAACTAAATTCTTAATTCCTTAGGCTGGATTGAAAAAAAACATTTAAAATGAAAGATCAAGAGTTTGTAAGGTTGCAGTAAATAATGAAACATGCCCAGTTTGTTGGTTAAAACATAACTAACAAATGTTATACAAATTTATTATTAGATTTCTGCGAAGTTGCAAAGGAGACATCTTTTTTATTAGTTTGTTTTTAACTAAGATTATGCACTTACATATTTATTTTGCCTTGTTTTGTAACGGTTCTTTGCTTAACATTAGAAATAATAATTTATGTTTTATTTTCTCTCATTAAAGCCTTGTAAAGCTATCAATTCTAAGGATGTTGATATCATGTATGTTGAGCTTCTTCAGCGCTGTAAACAAATGTACCTCACTGAAGCAGAGACAGCAGATGACAATGTGTATCAGCTACCAAGTTTCCTTCAATCCATTGCAAGTGTAATATTCCACCTTGATACAGTAAGTGGGCTATCTTTAGTCTCACTATTTGGTACCTTTTTTGCTAGTAACGTAATGAACTACAGCAGAAGAAATTGACTTTTGCTTCTCATAAGGTCATAATGACTTAAGCTCCTTTCTGAAGGGTAAGCTGAATAATGCTGTCACAAGATTTTCCTGTTAGAAAAATTTTCACTGAACAAAGGAAAGAAAAACATTAATGTTGTTATACTAAAATGCTAAGGTGCATCATATGGGAAAAAAGCGCACTAGCCATGTGTGAACAGGGTTTTTTTCCATTTAAAAAAGCTACGTTAACTGGGTATGGAGTTACTCTTTTAAGTGTAGGCACATTAATAACTATGTTAAAGGGACAAACCACCACAGTTATGTCTACATGTTTTAACCTAAGCTTTTTTTGTATAATGTTTTCAGTTTGTTTCCTCATGTGTATTGGGCAGAACATTTTTTGTACTCAGCTTAATTTTTTTTCCCCCCTTGTACAGGACATTACTCTGGACCTTTCTCCCCTCACATACTCGCTGTATGAAACCTTTTTCTAGTAATAAAAAAAACCCGCATCTGACCCCAAGCTGTACTAGGTTCGCTACTATCCTTCTCTCTTTTGTCAGTGCTAATAATGCCACACTGACTCAGATATTGGGACTCAGTTATGATTTTTGGATCTCTTGGTTTGCATAAGGGCTCCCTTGGTACTAGTCATAGGTTGGGAATAAGATATGTGAAACAAGCTCTATTTGAGCGTTCTAACTTCCGAATCGTTTAAACACAGTAATTTTGATGTTTGGTTTGTGTTATAATCACGTGAAGCTTACACTTTCATACAAATAGGAAATGAGTGTGATTTTGCTTCTGCTTCAACTTTCCTTCACTCAGAAGTTGCCTTTCTGTTCCCTGAGAGGCATAATCTGTTCCCTGAAAGTTTCCTTTACCTTCTGTTTTACTTGATCTTTTAAGTGAATGTCTGTATAACAGCTTACCATGTTGCTTGCCATCTTTGGGAAGTAGGCATTGGTATAACTATTTCTTTCTCTTTTATCTTTTGTAATGAACTCTTTTATTGGGGAAGGCTTACATAGATCTCTAGTTCTGGGGGATGTTACAATGAATGTCCTTAAGTGACACTTTTTTGCTTTTATTTCTTTTAGCTTCCCGAAGTATACACTCCAGTTCTTGAACACCTAATTGTGATGCAGATAGATAGCTTTCCACGGTATAGTGAAAAAATGCAACCAGTCTGTTGCAAATCTATAGTAAAGGTTTTTCTAGCCCTGGCAGGAAAAGGACCAGTTCTCTGGAATTTTATCAGCACTGTGGGTGAGTCTGTGATACAAAAACTCTCCCACTTCCCCCCACACTTCTTCCCCCTTTCAATAGTAAACTGATTTTAAGTGAGGTTTTATGGAGTACTTTTATCTGTGATGTAACTTTGGTTACTAGTCTGAGAATTCCTATTTTCTTGCTGGTAAAGGTTTGGGGTGCAAACAAGTTTCCTTAAACATCAACATCAGTGGTAATTTTGAATGAAAACATGATGATGATCTAAAACAAAAAGTAAATGACACCATTACAAAGGTGATAGTTACTGCTCTTGTTCAGATTGAGGCTTTTCCAGGAAAAATAAAATTTCTGTTTCTCAGGTAGTATTTTTTTTCTTTCAGTGCATCAGGGTTTAATCAGAGTCTGCTCCAAGCCAATCGTGTTTTCAAGGGTAAGCTTATTTTTCAGATCCTTTAAGATACTAATTAGAAATGTTTCTGATTTTAAAAATTTAAAGGATGGAGTTAACTGCTTGTAGATAGATAGTATATCTGTAAGGAGTTAACTGTTAATATGTTATGCTTCACTGAAAAGAATCTCTAAAATAGCAGATATCTTGGAGACAAAATAAAATGTAGGTTCAGTACATGACTTGGAAAAAATTTAAAGTAGCTAGTTCCCTTTGCTATCTCTAACAAGGTACAAACAGAATGCTTATGTGTTTAGCCTTCTGATTTTAAATCTGATTTTCAGTTACTGAAGCTATTGAGAGAGAGAGAGAGAGAGAGAGAGCTCTCTCTCTCTCTCTCTCTCAATAGCTTATTATCTCTCTCTCTCAATAGCTTATATATATGCTTGCTTATAGATTTCTAGGGTCAGAAGGAACCTATTAGATCATCAATATGATATATACTTACTTTATATCTTAACAGTTATGTAAAAATGTTAATTTACTGATTTTTTTTTTTTTTTTTTTTTTTTTTTCCCCCCCC